TATATATATATATATACACACATATCAAATTGCAATCTAATAGGATTTATTGTTTTACAGAGATAATGGAAAACATGCCTTAATCATTTACGACGATTTGTCTAAGCAAGCTGTTGCCTATCGGCAAATGTCTTTGCTACTTAGAAGACCACCAGGTCGTGAGGCTTATCCTGGTGATGTATTTTATCTTCATTCTCGTTTGCTTGAAAGAGCTGCCAAAATGAATGAAAATTTAGGTGGTGGATCGTTGACTGCTTTACCTGTTATCGAAACACAAGCCGGTGATGTGTCTGCTTATATCCCTACCAATGTCATTTCTATTACCGATGGTCAAATCTTTTTGGAAACCGAATTGTTTTACAAAGGTATCCGACCTGCTATCAACGTCGGTTTATCTGTATCACGTGTTGGATCTGCTGCTCAAACTAAGGCCATGAAACAGGTATTGTCAATTCTCTGATTTATGTGATTAAGATCAAAAGAATTATATAATATTAATGTAGAATACAAATATTTATAATAATATTCTTGAGACTTCCACGGCTTTTTATATAAAGATTATGCATTTCGCGAGTTTTGTCTCTCCATGTCCAAATCCATTTTTGCCAATATTTTGTGAATCTTATAGTCCTTCATCAGAGCGAGGTATAGCCTGATACTGAGCTTCTGATACAAGTTTAGTATCAGGCTGCACCTCGCCTTGATGAAGTGAACTGCAAGATTCGCGAAACACATAATTTTTAATATCTATAAAACATTGCGTAGGTTGCCGGTTCTATGAAATTAGAATTGGCTCAATATCGTGAAGTAGCAGCTTTTGCTCAGTTCGGTTCGGATTTGGATGCTGCAACTCAGCAATTGTTGAACCGCGGCGTGCGGTTAACGGAACTTCTGAAACAGGGACAATATGGTAAAAAAATGATCATATTTTAAATTTGAATGATCATGATATGAATCAATTTACATTTAACATGATTCTATTTTCAGTACCTATGGCTATTGAGGAACAAGTAGCAGTTATATATTGTGGCGTACGTGGTTATCTTGACAAAATGGATCCAACAAAGATCACTAGCTTTGAAAAAGAATTTCTTGCACACATCAGGTATACATAAAATATAATTTATATGTGTATATAATAATTTTTGTACATAAAAATTTTTCTTAATTGCATACAAATTTTATATATTATTCTTCTTCAGATCTACTCAACAAGATCTTCTTGCTACCATTGCGAAAGAAAATGTAATTAGTGAAGCATCAGATGCGAAACTGAAAAAAGTAGTCACAGATTTCCTCTTATCCTTCTCAGGATAGAGTGATCATCGAATGACATTTTAATGCGAATCAACATAGTAATTGAAGAACATAAAATGTTAATATTCTTAAAAATATTTTTGCTGCTGATGAGTGTTAATGTATCGATATTATACATCGCTCTATAAATGTTAATAATTATGTACAATATCTGTACATTAAAAATATTGCAGCAATTCCACATAAGACCTGTAAACTCGATAATTATCTACAGTATATTGATACAAAAAAACAGATCTTTAATAAAAATTAAAACCTATAATGTTTTAGATATACATTCTTGTATAAATACATCAATATACACTACTCATAAAAATTAGAGAAACACTTAATTTTTTTTAAAAATAGACAAAATTTTTTTTATAAAAAATAGATAAAATTTAGGCAGCTGTAACTTTGTCAAAAATGAACGAAATTTGAATTTAAAAAAAGAGTTTTAAAGCTTGAAATCTATTTTTAGAAAGTTACCATTTTTTTCTGTGAGTTTAATAATTTTTAAATAAAAAACTATAAGCTCAATTAAATAAGAAATCTTCAGCTTACTTTGTGGCCTTGTCACGTGCATACAAAAAAATCTGCGAAAATTTTCGACTTTTTTAAATATAAAAGCTTAAAATTTTCCCTATAACATCGTTTTTTAAAAACGTTTCTACGATTTTTCTGTATTATTGCGGATTGAATAAAAAATGAGCACTTTGACTTTGATTGCTCATAACTTCGTTAAAAAATCATCGTATTGCAACTTTAAATTTTATATATTATTCTTCTTCAGATCTACTCAACAAGATCTTGCTACCATTGAGAAAGAAAATGTAATTAATGAAGCATCAGATGCGAAACTGAAAAGTAGTCACAGATTTCCTCTTATCCTTCTCAAGATAGAGTGATCATCGAATGACATTTTAATGCGAATCAACATAAAAAAAAATTCTTGAAGCTAGAATTTTGCTCTATTTAACGGTGTGATTGAAATTTTTTAAGAAACACATAAACATGATAAAAAATGATTAAATCCTAAAAATTAGTAACTTTTCCTTTTTTTATTTTTATTCAGGAAAAAAATGTGTGGACAAACAAAAATTTATTCTTCACGATTTTTTGTGCTTTTAAGTATTCTGCATTTATAAAAAATTTGCTGAATAGCTATGAGATTTCTTTCATGGTGGCCATTATAGTTTTATGCGAAATATATCAAAAACTGGAAAATTACTTAATTTCAATGTAAAGAAAATGAACAATAAAGCTTAATTAACGTTAAAAAATCAATTTCTAATGCATCGACACTACGCTGATGTTTATCAAGTGTCTGTACGAATAAATTTGTCTCTTATTTCCTTCACTGAAATTTGAAAAAATATCGTCGTTAGCGTTATACAAGATATACCGCGATAGAGTACGCTTCGTTGTGTGTGTGTGTGTGTGTGTGTGTGTGTGTGTGTGTGTGTGCGCGCGCTTGAGATGCACGCATAAAAAAGATTAAAATTCAGGATGTGTTCCAATACTATCAGTATCGAAAATCTAGAGTACACGTAATTTGAACTATAGGTTTTCAGTAGTATATCAGAGCTTGTCCTGAAGAGGTAAGTTTAATAATACGTGTTTCTTCCTCTATTCAACATGATTGCACGCAATCGGTTTCGCATATTGATAGAATAGCGATAGCTGTTCGAGGAATTCGTTACCAGGTATATGTAAGACAAGCAAAGCTAAATCAGCGATGTTAGGATAATTTTCGCGTACTCTACGTTTTAATATATCTCCAACATGCTCGATTGGATTCAAATAGGGATTCAACGGCGGATGCAATATTATGATTCCATGATTTCTTAGGAATTGCTGGATGTAATGAGCAGGTCGCACACGCGTACACGCGCGCGCACACATATACACACACATACACATACACACACACAAAACGAAGTTTGTAACACACGTAAATCCGATCATGCAACCCTATCGTACGCTTTGGATAACGCTAATTATGGCGGTATTTTTTCAAATTTCAATGAAGGAAATAAGAAACAAATTTATTCATACTGACACTTGATAAATATCAGCGTTGTGTCAATAGAAATTGATTTTTCAATGTTAATTAAGTTTTATTGTTCATTTTTTTACACTGAAATTAAGCAATTTTCCAGTTTTTGATACGTTTCGCATCATAAAATTATAGTTGGCACGAAAGAGATCTCATTTTATTCGGCAAATTTTTTGTAAGTACAGAAAAAAATATTTAAAAGCACAAAAAATCGTGAAGAATAAATTTTTGTTGTTGATTCACACTTTTTCCTGAATAAAAATAAAAAAAAGAAAAGTTATTAATTTTTACGATATATTTAATCATTTTTTTATCGTATTTACGTGTTTCTTAAAAAATTTGGCAATCATCATTAAATAGAGCAAAATTCTAGCTTCAAGAATCTTTTTTTAAAGTTGCAATACGATGACTTTTAACGAAGTTATGAGCAATCAAAATCAAAGTGCTCATCTTTTACTCGATCCGCAATAATACAGTAACGGAAAAATCGTAGAAATGTTTAAAAAAAAAAAACGATTTTATAGGGAAAATTTTAAGCCTTTATATAAAAAAGTCGAAAATTTTCGCAGATTTTTTGTACGCACGTGACCAAGCCTACAAAGTGAGCTAAAGATTTCTTATTAATTGAGCTTGTAGTTTTCTATATGTAAAAATTACTAAACTCACAGAAAATAAAAAAAATAATAACTTTCCAAAAATAGATTTCAAGCTTTAAAACTCTTTTTTTTTTAATTCAAATTTCATTCATTTTTGACGAAGTTACAGCTGCCTAAATTTCTATTTTTTATAAAAAATTAAGCGTTTTTCTAATTTTTGTGAGTAGTGTATAATAATAAGTAATAAACTTTAGACGATTTATAAATAAGTATTAATATAAAGAGTTTTCAAAATATTTTGTTAATTAGCTTTTAATTTTTCTAAATACATTTTTTCATGTTTTGCATACAATTAATTAAAATTAAAGTTAATTCTAATTCCTTATACATGTTTAATT